AAGAGAAAAAATAACTGGCTTATTGGCTTGGAAAAGTAACCTGATAAGCTGTGTGGAGAGTCTTGTTATCCAAATTGTATTCAGTTTCTCCTGTTCACCTTGTAATTAAATAAACCAAATGTGTCTGGTTTGGAAGAGTAGATTGTGTAGGAACAAGTGTTTTGGTACTTTTTTAGAGTAGATTTGCTGGCCTAACTGAAAAGATTAGCTGTGAAATTTTCTGTCTAACTAGAAGAAAGATTATTATAAAGCATATTTCTAAGTGATAAGGTATAGTAACTGTCAGCAAGAAAGGCATCCTGACAGGTGAGATGATAGAGATCATATATTTAGAGTCATACTTTGATTGATGAGATAAATCTGGCAAGTTATTCACAGGTGCAAGCATATGATGCACAAGAACCAGAAGGCTGGAGGAGTCAAGCAGGGGTTGGTCACATTGTTGCCTTGCTCTGCCAAAAGAGGATTATCAAGAATATAGAGCCAACTCTTCTTGGAGATGCAGAGCAAAAACATGAGGTGTTGGACGCAAGTTATAACTAGGGAAATGCTCAAAAGATAATGGGGGAGAGGGGGGAAAATATCACATTTTGATTATTTAAGCCTTTTTACACATCAGCAAATAGGTGGAGTTATTTCCATCCTTGGAGAACCTCAAAACACAACATGACAAGGACCTGAATACCATCATCTAGCTTTGATGTCTATTCTTTAAGTAAGAGTTTAAGTGACCTCTCAGTTTCCCTTCCAGTGTAAATTATTTTGAGTCTACAATTCCTCTTGTTATAAATGCAATATATTCCTTCATAAACTTTTATCTGAAATGCTTTCAGAGTTATAAACATCTTTCAATTTACATTGTAAAACTATCTTTTGCTAGTGATACAAATGGAATAATGTGTGCAGCCCCAGAGTTGGAGGGGAAGGAAATGAAATGATGAACTAATATACAAAAAGGAAATTCACTTACACTGTGCTATGAATTTCTGGAAGTGCACATATGTTCCTGGTGTGAGTGTGATGCATCATCTGGTGAAGGTATTGCACTGAAAATAGATTTCCTGAACGGATGCTGCATTTGTTCAATTCTTTTAGCTTAGCATTTGATAGACAATAAACTGTAGCTGCATAGTGAGCTTTGATGAATGTACTATGGGAACACATAATTAGTTTAATTAAAATATGATTTTTCATGTGAGAAAAATTTTTAAAGCTTTACTGTTGATAAAAGTACTCTTCAGATATATCCAGCCAAGTCCCAGTAGCTACTTTTTTGGTAGAAACTTGCAAATATGTGAACCCACCCTCCCATATTTTAAACTGTTATAAATCCTTAGTTCTTAATCATACACAGATATGATAATTTCTTTTTTCTTCCAAAACCCACTGCATTTCACAAAATTCTGTTGTCCTTGTTTGTGTAGTTCAGCCTTTCTCAAAGAAAATATCTTAATACTAGACAGTAGAGCTGGGAATGTTTCAGTTAGTTTCAAATCAGAATTTTAAGGCTACTACTAATAGACTTTAAGTTTTATGTGCTTTACCACACAAATACACATGAAAATAGTACATATATATATTTTGCTTAGATGTAAACTTTTCTTTATATATATATGTATATATATATCCTTATTCAAATACTACACTTTCCTTGCCAGTTCAAAAAGCAATAATTTTGCATCCAAATGGAAAGTCTCAAAGTTGAATTGCTAATTTGTGATAAGGCAAACCTTGCAGCAGTCCAAGCAGTTGTTGTGTATCAAAACACATGAAACTTTAATGACAAGCCAGTAAACTGGAATATGGTCAATAGAGTCAATGCTCAGTAACAAAATATCCCTTTAGAGGAAATGTGAATGACTGGTATTTAAAGGAAATCACTGAAAAGCTTGTGTATGCCACAAAGTCCTCAAGTTTTCTGTACTAGTCCTTTTAATTATGCAGTACAAGAAACTTATGCTACTTTACACAGTCATTCTCTTCACAGAAATGCTGGTATATTCTGTGTATAAATTCCTCTGAAAGGCAGCAGAAAGGTGTTGCTGCAAGTACCTTCCACTTACTTTGCTTATGAATAAAAAACCCATTTTTAATGGTGAGTCTGCAGAAAAGGGGTGATAATAGAAGTGCTGGCATACTTGATCTACCCAACCCTGCAGGTGTTACAATGAGAGAAGCTTTAAGAACTTCAAGAATTGCACAAGGGCAAAATCTACAGATGTTTCCTTCAGTTGTTTGTAAAGGGGGAGTTTTGCTACAGTGCTATTGTTTCAGTTGACCCTTTTCTCTCTCGGGGTTTTATTCTGCTGTAATTTATCATCCTTGGTTCTCAGAATAGCAGAATTCCCTGGTAGGTCACACCAAAATGAGGAGGAGGTGTCTTTCTTTAAGACCTTTCCATTCTGTCCTTCTGACAGAAGAGGCGAGTTAGACTTTTCAGGGCAAAGACCTATATTTAAAAGATAATTATCAATAGATTGGTCCATACTGAGTGCAAGATTGAAATGGCATGATTTTAGTTATACTGTGAAGGAAGGAAAAGAAATTACTTGAGGTTTTGAAGTGTCTGCTTGTTTGCTGCACCAATGGAAAGTTTAATCTCCTTGCAAGGAAGATCTCTCTTCCTTGATGAAAAAGTTGAATGGCTGGTCTGGTGAGTGTTGTCTTTCATTGACTTAAAATACAGTCCTTGTATGTTGTGAAATGAGGAATATGGCTTAGTAAACTGTGTAACACTGTGTAGCCTAAGAAAATAATCTAGTTATTGATGTTTAAGGTATTTTATCATATTTCTGAGTAATTAAATGCTAGAAATACTATTTAACTGTGTTGCAGTGCAAAATTCTGCAGCTCTAGCATGCTGACCTAGTAAGGACTTCAGGAAGACACAGCTGCACTGTCTCTGATGAATTCTTTTAGACACCGAATTTGGTTGCTTTTCTTGGTCAAATATTTGGTCACATTTCTTCCCAATTTAAAAGGTTACAGAATTTTCAGTAAATCTTTTAGAGATAATGTGTTTGAATTAAAGTGCAATAATTCAACAAATAAATCTTCATCAAATAATACTAAGAATTTATATCCCACATTTAAGTCTCCAAAGGTAGAGATAATGAAAAATTTACTGTAAGTTTATAGAAGGTTTATGAATGAAAGCCTGAGTTGTTTTTTTATTCTTTCTCAAACTACCTCTTTTGTCTTGGGAAGATAAAGAGGAGAAAATATGTTAAAACTGGGGCATTGTATTGATTTTTATCACAATTCTATGTCTGTAAGTTTTTGATGAAGACTCTTAAAAGGGTTAACGCAGAGCAATTTTGGTTCTGCACAGGACTTGGTAACAGAGCTGTAGGTCTCCTGTGGCAAAACATAAAAAATATGTACAGTTTCATTGTTCTTTGCCTTACGAGGAAATCCATTAGCTTAACAAAAATAAATGCAATGTTTCTTTATTTTTAGTGTGACTTCCTAAGGAAATAAGGCTTATGTTATTGTACAGGCCCTCTGCCTCTGTTTCCACTTGAGAATATGTGGACAATGCAATCAAATATAATGTAGAAAATTAGTCTTTGAATATGCAAAGTTTCTCAAGATTAGTGAAAGTCAGTGACTAGGAAAGGAAAAAAATGCCAAAATTTTGAGGTGACATTCTCCTCTCACTGAGTAGTTAAAGTCCAAGTTCAGAATTTGTCCCATTTAGATGTGGGCTGGTCAGGCAGCAGGTGAGTTCCTGCTCCATTCCAATAGGATCTGCTTACCCTTGGAGGGTAAGAAGTCTCTGGGGATTGTGGACAAACAGAACCAGAGGTATTATGGGTGGGGACAGATGTCAGTGAGGTCAGAAGCTAGGCATGACCACAATAAAAGGGGAAGAATCTTAATGTTTTTAAAGTATTTAAAGTTCACAGAACTCAAACCTCCAAAATTCCTCAGGGATCTCATCTCTGCCTCTCAAGGAAGAATTTCTTGATATTGTCAAATAACATACAAGGAATCTTAACAAGACTGATACTGGTGCTACTTTTACTGTCATTTTGGTGAAATATGTACATAATTCTTTGTATTAAAGATGATTTAGAAAGCATGAGTTGAAAATTTAACTGTATACTGCGAATTGCCTCTTATAATTTGGCAATTCAGCAGGTCTACTGTCAAACTGAACTACTTCACATATTTTTTTTCCAGCATGGACATACACCACTCCAGGATTTTTGGTCACTGCTTAAATGAATTTGTAAAATTATCCCATCTGCCCTAAACTTCGCTTTTTAAGCACCTTTCTTGGTAACTTTTACTTTGAAATTTGTCTTAGTAGCACTGCTATTGTTTTAATTTATGTCATATTATTTAGCTTGCTGTTTCGGGTGATTTTTGATGAAGTTAATTGAATGCATTGGAAAATGGTGTATACTGCAAATTTTGATTTCTTTTCCATTCTAGATTTTCCCCATTGCTATAGCCACTTATACTTTCATTTTCCTTTGTCTCAAAGTTGTCTGTCAGCACCTTCTCTGCTCTCACATCATGAAAATAAGCATTGGAAATGTCAAGCTTCTGAAGCCACCTGTGCTCATTTCTGGCTACCTAAACATAAAGATCTTGCCACATTTTGACTTCTACAAAATATAGTTGGTGACATCTGTAGTCATTTTAATCCACACCTAAAGTTTTCTAAAAGTATGTAGTGTGTCTGGCAAATAATTGCCTGTGTTAACTCCTGCATAGTTTGTGTTGCAGTAGCAGATGTGTGCTGCCTGTATTGTGCTTGTTTCAAAAGCAGAAGTGAATGATCAGAGCTACCCTGGGATTTTTTTTGACTGTTTCATAAACACCCTAGTTATCTGATTCAGACTTTCATAGGGTTAAGTATTCTTTAATTTATTATGAGCACACCTTTTGACTTTTATGCCCTTTTTTTTTTTGAGTTTAATTCTTGTTTTCTTGAAGATTTAAATCATGGTAATTTAATGTTGTTTTTGTGTTTGTGTTTTTTTTACCAGGTCATCTGAACAAGAATCACCAAAGTAAGTTTTCTTTACACTTTCTCCTATCTCTTTAAGACAAATAACAAAATATATAACTTCAACTGATTTTTTCAAAGTAGTGGCTTTGTATGATTAAAAGACACAACTAAATGTATAAATCAAGGAAGATTATAATTATTTGTGGGAAAAGTAAATTTTGGGGTCAGGGTTTGGAAAGTCTTAAGTTGTAATAAATCATCACTGCTAAGAAAGTTGGTTAGAAACTGTTGCAAAAGTTCAATGATGCAAGAAATAGTTTTATGTGGTGACTATGTAGTGCCAGATGACATTGACTGAAATATATAATCATATTTTTCTGGTATTGTTAGATTTCTTTTCTACATTGAAAAAAACAGTGCATGGGCTGTAATTTCAACTTGTAAGTGAAATGGTTTTTTGGACTATGTTCTGAAAAACTTATTAGGATGTATTTACATACACAGTGCTCCTACTTGGTTAACATTGACTTCATCAGAATCATGAAGAGTCTTGGAAGCTATTAGATAAAACCAGAATTTTGACAGTGTAATTATTGTTTGCTACTTCAAAGTATTCTGAAACTTTGAATGCATTCAGAAAGTGCCACTTTCTGTAGTAACTGAAAATTCTGCAACTGTTGCATGAAACACCTCACTACCATTGCCAAGTAGACATAGTCCAACTGAAAATCAGAAGTATTATGGCAAGAGTACATTTGCTTGATGGCATCTTTCAGGACATTTGTGTTTGTTGCAATCGGATTTTCACAGGCCAAGAAACAAGTGTTTGCAATATCGAAGTTCACTGCAATACAGGTCCTGTATGTTAAAAGCTACACTCCTTGGAGTGTAGAATTACTTCTTCATTGACAGCTCAAAATGGCTGCTGGAAATGGTTCAAAAAAGCTCACATATGTAGACAAATACCAAAGCAGATAAGAATGTTTGAATTTACAAATTTTAAAGCCAAGATTTACTTGGCAAGAAATGTACTTCCGCTACTTTAACACTGTCAAAATTTGTTGTCACTATACCTGAGCTTCCCCCAAGACAGATATTTTCACATTAGGTAGTATTTATAAGGATGGAGCAGTTAGTATGTATGATATCCATTAATTTGGTCCAATTAAAGAAGGGGATTGGTTGTATGAGGGAGAGATCTGTATGTCATCCTTTTCATAAGAGGGAATGTAGCTAAATGAATGTTTGGTAGTCCTGAAGCACCATCAGGCAACTTTGCCAATTCCCAGATTTAAGAGTTTTAGTTACTGACTTTGGTTATCATTGAATGTTAAAGCTCTTGAATGCCAAATCTGTACCCTAAGTTAATTCTGGGTCCTTTTGTGTGGCTATAACTACCTCAATGATGCAACACTTCAACTGCAATTAAACCTTTCATTGTCCCTTCACTTCCTATTTCTCTGACAACTTACCCTGGCTTTTCTTAAAACTGCCTTCTCCCACAGGGATAAGGTTGAAATGGCACTTGTAAGAAGGAGGAGTCTTAAAACAAACAAACAAAAAAAAAGTGCTTTGCAGGTATGAGAGTGGCATCACAGCAAAAGATTTTTCATGGATAGAATTGCCTTTCCCTTGTGGTTCAGCCCTCTCCATGTGTTACTGTGAATTCCTGTACTGCTGCAACAGCGCCTTTCACTGCTAACATCCAAATATTTTGCTTAAAATGGTTTTGCTATTCCAGAATTTTTGTCTATTTTCTGGATGTCCACTGATCAAAGGATAGGCTTAGATCACATTCCAATCCTGTTTCCCTGCACTTCCACTAAGAAGTGGTGTTAAATCTTTTTACTCTTAAAAACTTGCGCTTTTAAAATCTTATAATTTAAAAATCTGGATAACAGTACCTTTGTAATATTTATCCTTTCAAAATAAAGGAACGTATTGGGAAACAGTCCGACGCAGAGTTCTCTGACCCGTCTCTCACCTAAAGCCTTGGCTCGGTATCCCAACGGAGTCGGAAACATTTCTGGCTCTTACCCGTTGGAAGGGGTGGATAAGCAGTTCTTAGAAACGTATGACAACGTTACAAAAAGTAGCTCGACGGAAGATTCCAGTCAGTACTACTGTGATAAGGTATGTTCAGTTGTGTGCTTTTACAGTCAGAACTAGTAGTGAATTTGACTTGGATCTGTGGTTTGAGAATGCGTATAAGTGGTGGCTGTATATCAGGATGGGCAGATTTTATGCAGTAATGAAAATAGATCTTGTGTTGCTGCTCACATTTATCCAAGCTTGTGTGATAGACAAGTTTACCAACTGCATGGATTTCCAAAGTGTCCAGCTTTCCAGAAGCTTCAGGGGAAGTTCCTAGCAGAATAGAAACCCTTACATGATTAAATCTTGCTTCTTCCAAATGAAAAGATCAGCTAACTCAAGTTGCTATATGTCTGAAAAGCAGGCACAACTGTGCTTTATCCTAGGCATCTCTTAAGGATGTTTGAACATCATCCATCTGTCCTGGCTGGAGAGCAGCTGCTCCCTGCTAACATTATGGTAGTGGATTATACTTCCCCAGCCTTCCCCAGTTTCAGAGGGACTTCCAGAGGGGTTCTGGCTAAAAGTGGGCACTTACAATTAATTAAAACAACTAATTAAAATTATTTAAAATAGTTCTATCATTTCCAACATGTCAATTAGCTGCTGACACCTTTTAATTCTTGTGCCTTGTGGATCTGTTGTGTAAAAATACACCTATTTAAAGGAGAAAAGTCAAGGGGAAAATAGTCACTTCACAGTTCTTGAAGTAGAATCAATTCTATTCATGTGTTGCACCTCAGCTTTTAATGACAACAGGTTGAAACTGTAATGGGATTTATCAATTGGGAAGGAAAGCTAAAATGAGAGTAATGATGTTAGGACAGAGCAACCAGAAAATATTTACTGAGATCTACATTGCTATTTTTACTCTTTAAAAGGTTATTACCATAGGTATATTCTACAAACATATCCTCTTCATGTTTCAAAGGTGGATTTACATAGAGTATTTTTGTTCAGCACATCTAAATTTGGAAGCATGATTTCCTAATTTGCTGATATTTTCTTCTAAAAATGAGAACATTTTCTTTCTATTGCTATATATTGCAGAATGATCTAATTGAGGGAGATTTACTTTTGGTGCGTATCATACCAGATGAAGAAGGGAAGTTTGGATTTAATCTAAAGGTAAATCAGCTGTCTTTTAATTACTTTTAAATTCTTTATGGATATATTTTTTTATTATTTTGAGATTAAATTTTTTTAACGTAATGATTTGGAGAAAGCAGTATATTTTACAGGAATGACCTATAGACTGAGAGTTTTTAGAAGTGGCAGCCTAATCCTTAAGAGCTAAAGCAACATTTACAGAAATAAGCATCTAATAATTCTCTGGTTTTCGATTGCATATATTATGGGCATGGCACATACCCAAGGCACACTGCACATTTGGCTGCTGAAATATTAACTCAAAAGCCTAATTTAAGGCATCAACTTTTGGAAAATTTGACCTCTGTATTATAAAACAATTTAAATAGTTTGTGCTGTTCCATTTAATTTTATCTATTAGAAATTGTATTGAAAATTTAAAAATTAATTTATGAAGAAAATGAAAATTACTACTGATAATTGACCATTGTAAATGTTTTACATTCCCTCACTGAAATTCCTTTTAAGCAGAGTACCGTAAATTTGCCATGTTATCAAAATTAGAGCAGAGTTTGGTCATTTCACCCTTGGCTATTTATTGGTGGGGCAGCAACTGAATGTGATGTGAGGAGAGTAAGGGAGTACAATTGTCTTGAACTTTGATTCTACTAGATTTCTTGCACATTTGTCACAAAATCTAAGAAAACTGTCTTGCAAGTTCAAGTGTTAAATTAGTCTTGCTTCAAGCACAGGGTTACAATAAATGTTATATTTTATCTGTTTATGCCTATTAAAATGTATGGTCTGAAAGAGACGCCTAATCTAGTTTACTGGAAATTGGTAGATTTTAAAGACACCACAACCCACCCCCTAATTCCCCATTTAATGATGAAAATTCAGTCCTACCAACCCTGCCTATGATGACACAGCACAAAAAAATTAATATAAAAAGAAAAATAAGCAAGTACTTATTTTAAATGCTGCTTACACTTAAAGATAGATTTATGGTTTCTATTTATTTGACATTCCTGTAGGGTGGAGTAGATCAGAAAATGCCACTGGTGGTATCAAGAATAACTCCAGGATCACCTGTAAGTAAATTTTTGAGGCTTTTAATCCCTTCCATTGTTACTCCTTCTACCTCTCAAAGGTCTGTGCACATAGAAATTTGGGCACCTGTAACTAGTATGAGATAGCAGCAGAGCTGTTCTCATTAGGAATTGGTTTAACCGGTGGTTTCTTAAACCAGAGATTAAAAGATGTGTAGAGTTATTCAAACAAGTTATAAGTAGAAAGTATATTTGTGTTCTCCTGTCATCTCAAAAAGTGCATCCTGAACTGGAAAATGCTTGATGAGGGGCAAGGACTGCAGATAAGGAACATTATTTATTGAAGAAGTAAATCATTTGGGCCCCTGCACCCTAGGAAAAAATATCTGGTTTGAGGGAGATGTAGTAGGGACCTGTAATATTAGAAGCACTGTGAAAAAGGAATTCCAGCAGAAGTATGAACTACTAAAGTAAGTTTGTGAAGGTCAGGTTCCTCGTGTTTGATGAAATAGTTTTTCGCACGGAAGAGAGTACACCCGTGAAACTCCTTGAAAAAGGATGCTGTGGTTGAAATAATTTTGTGTGTGGTGAGGAAAGAACAAATACTTGGGGGAAAAAACCTGTTGTTATTGACTAAGGAAGCCACAATAGGCTGAGGAAATTCTTAGGGCTAAAATTATTTATAGGATGAGAGTACTTGGAAGGAGAGAGTGAGCATAGAGAGGGGGGTGTATGTTTGCTCTGTTCCTATTTTGATATGGACTTTTTGCTTATGGAACTATTTATAGACTAGGTGAGATGTTTATAAGAATCAGTAGAGTAATTGAGTTCTTCTTTTGAATTGTGAAATGATAATAGGAATATAAAATATTTTTAAACTTTTTTTCTATATAATTATTACATAAATTTGTGAGGACAAATGTTATATCATTTTTTTCATTTGCCTTTTTTCAAACTATATTTCCTAACTCTCATGAAATGCTTTCAATGCAGACTTGTTAGGAAATATTACTGACTTAATCCTAAAAATACAGTGCACTCTGAATCTTCTGACTATTCTGAAATTTGATAAGCAGTCACAGGACTGATATCTAAATGTCATGATGCAAATCAAGCTAAAACAGATTGCTTGAGAAGTTATTTTTTTGTCACATTTATGATTTTTGGCCTGTCTTACACAGTTCATAGAACTTCTTTATGAACTATAATAATTATTTGAAAAAATGTTTGGCAGGAAATTATAACTTACATCTAGGAATTGAAAATAAAACAGTCCCCAAGATATTTCATGGTCAACCTAGCAAATATTAAGGATGATTTGAGATTCTGAAATTATATAGGGGCAAACACTCATTTTGCTATCAGAGAATGAAAGATCTTTCTCCAGAGGCAGTCATTTCATTTGACAGATTCAGATGGTCTTCTGGATACTATTGATTTGTATTTTTTTCTCTTGAATGGAAAAAGGGCTGGACTTCTAACTTTAAACACTTCATTCTCCCTTTGGTGTCATAGGCATGGACAAGAGTGATCAATTATCTCTCCAGCCTAGTAAACCATCAAGTCAGCAAGTTACCAGGATCACAGAAAAAAATTGGAAACAAGTTATCCAATATAATATACTCAGTAGCAGTTTTAGGGAAATCAAGTCATGTTCTAACAAGAGGAAGATAATATACTTATTTTTAGAGAACAGCAGTATTAACATTGATTATATTGTTTTCCATAAAGAAAATTTTACCTGTTCTTTACTGTTCATTGAAATGTAGATATTTCAAAGTTCAAATTAAGGTGTATGAAATGCATTTTGATGTTATTTTAGCTCAGTTATGCTTCACCTTCATTTCTGCTATTTTAACGTGCTCTAGATTCACTTATTACTCTGTAAATTGCCTTCAGGGATGCTATTTGCTGTTACTATTTGCTAAGATTATATCTCAGGTTTGTAGGTCACCTTTTTCCCACTTTCCTAGAAAAAGATGTGCAATTTTTATAGAGGAGGGGAAGCAAATCTACTCCCCAAATTAAGGTAGCATTTTCATTTACGCATCCTAAAGTTCTTTCTAAAAAAATCCTTTAATAAAGCAGCAATGTAGCATGCTGGGCAAATTGTAGGATGGAGTAGCCAAAATTTTTGTGAGAGCACATTTTAGTGAAGGAACAACCATTTATTGCATTTGTTTGTTTTAGGGTGTTTTTTTAATTAAAGTTCTATACAGATTTTTTTTTTTTTTCACAAATAGTATTAATGCTCTCAGGTGCTAAAGAGGTCATTATGGTTTTAGTTAATAGAGCTTGTAATGGAAAAAAAAACTTCATGCTTCTTGGAGCAATATAAGGTGATTAGCATAAAATGGCACGTTGTGTGTATCAATAGGACAGAGAGCCTTTGACATAATATATTGCCTGGAAAAGCTCAGACTCTGAAGAATCTATAACTTGTGCTTGCACAGAAGGAATTAATTCTTCTTTGAGATATATTTTATATAGTCAGATGATTCAAATAAGAAAGCTGATGCGTTAACATATCACATGATGAACAAAGTTTGTTTGAGCAAAGGTATTAATCTACATCTGTAATAGAGACTAATGGCAGCCAGCCAAGAAATCTAGAGTATAGGCAAATATAGGAGCTCAGAAACCATTGCTTACAAGTTCTTGCTGACGTCTTGACTCTCCTAGACTGACTTGATAGGGTCTTAATATCACCTATCTTTTCAAATATTTATATTTCGGAGAAAATAACTTAATAATATTTAAGAGTGATTAAATTATCCAGTCGTTCATAGTTACATTCTTCAGTCCTGCCTTTGTAAATTGAACAAAATATGTCACAGGTGTTTTTGGGGAGCTGTGAATACCTAGTTAAAGCAGCGTTGAAGAACATCATGGCTGTTCCTAATTCCCATTCTTTTTCTGTTTACATTTCTTATAAATCATTGTCAATCTTCCCTATCCTTCATTATTTTCTTTCCTTATTTCTATGGAAAAAGTTGAGGGCAACTTTTCCTTCTTTAAATTTTTAGTCAGCTTTTCTGCATGGGATATTTTCGTCTTGCGTGCATCTTTCTTTTCTCTTGCTTCTTTTTCTTCTTTTTCTGTTTTGTGGCACTAAAACAGGTCATAAGTTTCCTTTTCTATAACTTTGTTTGCTGGTACAAATGACTCCCAATTTATTTTCTTCATATTCTTGCCTCTATTTTTTTATTCTGCATTTTTTATCTTGAATTTTTTTTCTTTATAATTTCTCCTTTACATCTCTTATTTATTAGTTGGTAATATCAATATATTAGGAGCCATCGGTGCAGGGCATAATCACGATTGGATTTAAGTTTAATATCTTGTTTATGGGGGATTGGTAATTGTTGATTGGTAGGGCTAATGGTGTTGAATGAATAAAGCTCAGGGAACCTGTGCTGGCTATTAAGGAAATACAAGGAGCATCAATGAAGACATAAAAACAGTAAAGGCCTATGTCTCAGTCACACAATAAATGAAATTAAGTGTTCATATATGTATCACTCTTGTGTAGCTGGAGGCTTCCAAAGACAAAATAAAGATTAGGATAGTAATGAAAATAAAATTGATGGATTACTTGACGCTTAAAGATTGTAGACTGCTACACATTCCTATTAAAGAACCACAGAAGGCTGGAAGGGTCCTGGAGGTCCTCTTGTCCAATCCCCTCTGCTCAAGAGTCACCTAGAGTTAGTTGCCCAGGACCATATCCAGATGGCTTTTGAGTGCTCCAAGGTGGGAAGTCCACAATAACTCTGGACAAGCTACTAGAGTGCTCAGTCACCACAGCAGTAGAACTGTTTCCTGATGTTTGAATGGAGCCTCCTCTGTTTCAGTCTGATCCCTTTTCTTCTGATCCTGTCACTGGGCACCGCAGAGAGTTTGGCTTCATCTTCTCTCTGCCTTCCCCTTAAGTATTTATGTACATTGCAAGATCCCCTTGAGCCTTTTCTTTTCTATCCTAAATAATCCCAGCTCTCTGAGCCTTCCTTCATGCAGGAGCTGCTCTAGTCCCTTAGACATCTTTGTAGCATTATCACCATCATCATATTCTGGCCATAGCTTTAATTGCTTTGTGCTGGACATAGGGCTAAACATACTGAGAATGCTGATGGAAAAAAAGCAACAAACAAACCCTGGAGTCCAACAGTTAATCTAAATCTAAACAAGACTCTGCAAAATAACAAAGATATGAAATGTGTGTGGATTTTTTTTAAATTTAAAAAGCACATGCCTGGGGAATGTCATGTTAGTTAAATCATGTTCATGAAAATCATACTTCTTAGTATTCACTGCGTAAAAAGTGAGATGGATTATCGTATGTGCCCAAAACACTTTCTCCAGAAATTCAGAGGTTGTTGAGGCTTGGAGTCTGAAATACAGATCTTTGAGAGCAATCTGATGATGGCTGTTTGATTAATGTGAATTCCTTTTAAAGCTATTGAATTCCTTTTAAAGCTATCAGTATGCTGTTTGAACTGTTCCTTATCATCGTGGAGAGACTTTGAAGCATGAGAGCTTTAGAGCTGAAACCTTGGATAGATCCTCTGATACAGAGTATGAAACTTTGTCAGGAGAATTGTGAAGACTTTGCTTACACGATGTACTTAATATCCTGCTATGTTCCTGCTTGCCCAACTGGTTGTGATGACATTAATGTGTTTCTTTGGTCTTGTAACAGGCTGATAAATGCATTCCAAAGCTGAATGAAGGTGATCAGATAGTATTAATTAATGGCCGAGATATCTCAGAGCACACGCATGACCAGGTGGTCATGTTCATAAAAGCCAGCAGAGAATCTCACACAAGAGAGCTTGCACTTTTGGTCAGGAGGAAAGGTAACTGGGCTAATTTTATTCACTTCTGTTGTTTTTGAGACTGTTGTTCTTATGCTTGGTGGTATACCCACTTCTATTTGCATAAACATGTTCTCAGTGCACTTGGAATAGGTCTGTGCAAAAAGTAGGTCCTCACCAAATTTGTATTAGTAGTACAAGTATCTTCAACTATATAGGTTATTACCACTGCAACAAAGAATCTAGCAAGTCAGAATTTCTTCTTATTTTTTGGTCTAAAAATCTATGAGAATAAATTGTCCCTTGAAAGAGTTTTTTGGTGATGTGGGGTGTTGGGTTTTTTTCATAAGTAAAGCATAATTTTAAAATCTCCCAATTGCATATTCACAAAAACTTGTGGGCTGTTCCCCTGCACAATAAAGTGATGAAACAAGCCAAATAAGCTGCTCCTCACCACATTCTTACAGTAGACATTTGTGACAGTACTGTGATAAACTTGTGCTAGTTGCTTGCAGAACTGCTGCCTGCAGAGAGGAGACAGTCTTTGAAATGTGCAAGGTCTTAAGCCTGTATGTTTAAAAATTAGTAACTCATCCAGCTTGTCTTTGCTTGCTCCATATTTAAACACCTGTAGATCCCAAGAGCTTTCAGATGATGTCAAACTCTTAATTTGTTATTTGCTTTCCTAAAGAGGTATGGTAAGACATTAGCACAATTACACAATTACGGAGTTTCTGATTGCATGAAGACATAAAAATCTGAAGGGATTATGCATCACTAGGAAGCAGGAGGGAATGAAACAGCCTAAGTGATATGTACACTGTAACTTCTGTAACACTGGCTTTATTTAGAACTTCTTGTGTTTCTAAGAAGACAAATGGGCTCTTTATTTTGTTTTCCACTGGCTTTGTGCAGCATTTAGTTTTCCCTTAATTTTCTAGTCCTCTTCCAACTTGCAGATAAGAGAAATCTGCTTTTGTCTAAAGATAACCTGTGGCCCCATACCAGTCATTTTTATGGGCGTGAGCATAACCAGCTCCCCATTTTCCGAAGTTTGGCAGTATGTTCCCATCACTGCAGAGAATAACCACAGCTGGACATGTCTGGTGATACATTTCATAGGGTTAGAACTGCTATGCAGATTTTCATTAATGTTTGTCATGTTATTCAGTAGCAAGGAATGTTGTAGAAAACTGACTAATAATTATTTTCATCTTTAGTTCCTTCAATGTTAGCATAAGAAATTGCAAACAATAATTCTGTGTCTTCTCTAATGGCAAAGGAGTATGATGAAGGGATTTTTGCATTTGTTTTGCTGTTGGAGGTCCAAATTTATAGAAGTTTCTTGTAGAGATAATCCACTAATTATGATCTACACTTTTTTTAGGTAAAACTCCCTTGTTTTTTACCATGGTGGATGTTGTATTTCATTTGCCTTTTTAGCAGTTCATTCTGTAAGACAAGGTTGCAAAAACCTCCTTGTGCTAGGAATTCAAGTTCTTTGCCTTCATAAACAGGTATTTGGAGTTTTTCTTTCAGAAAGGTTATAGGGACATTTTACTCTTTATAGTTTCTATAGTAATACAGTACAGAAAGAAGTGTGATTTAATGTGTTGTTATTTCCTTTTCTGAAGTTTTGCAAACTCTGTTGTTATTTCAAGCTGGTAAATTTTTATATCTGTTAAAAACACATTTGTGCTCCATGTAATGGATTATAACTTCATACACATCTTTCAGTAATTAAACAGTTTGTGGAGACCAAATCAGAAGATGAAGCTGATTCCCACATTCTGCCAGAATCTATTCTTCCTGTCTGTTCTGAATATGGTGGTGATACACTGGAGGAGTCTATGGAGCAGCTAAGAAGAGGGCTAGAAAGTGGGACTGTCCTTATTCAGTTTGAGGTAGGTAATACTCAACTGTGTAATGCTGTTAGTGTAGGACAATAGCTGTAACCAGAGAGTAATGGAGGGGTTGTAATTAGTTACAAATCTCTTTGTTCCTGTTCAATCTTATCTCAAGAGAGCAACAATTTGACTTGCCCATCAGTTTCACACTTCACTACTTAGAATAGGGGAGAACTAGTTTTAAGACTTACACAAAATACCATCTGAGAAAAAGGTGTTTCAATTAATATGTTTCTGGCTCAAGTACCCAAAGTTCACTAAATTAGTATTTTTTTACAGTTGTTTTACTGAGTAGAATAGTGGGATTTTGACAGAGATCAGTCTTGTACTTTGTTTCTTTTTCTATGCTCTTCAATGTGTTAGCATGGAAGGTCATAGAAAACTAATAAACTGTTTTATATTTTATTAAATTAGTTCCTTCAGTGTTAGTGTAAGAAATTCCAAAGGATAGTTCATCTGCTTTTCTAATGGCAAGGGAGTGCAGTATGTATGTTTGTGGTTACCTTACTGTTGTAAATTCAAACATTTATAGTAGCTCTTAAAAAAACCCTAGTTTATTAGGATTTTTAAAATTTGCATTGAGTTCTGAAGTAACCCCTTCTGTCACTGAAAACTTGTAGAACAGCAATAATTTTTTTCTCCTTTTGATATTTTTCTCCACTGTTTTTTCAAAGCTGGAAAATTTAATGGTAATGGCTGAAGAGCTGTGGTATTGTTTATTGCATAACCACTCTTTATATGAGGTTTCCTTTATTTCTATGACTTCTGAGAATTAAAATTCCCCTGGTTTTAAGGAGTTATAGACAATAGTTCATAACTGCTTTCCAAAATCCACAGTACTGGATGAAACGCAGCAATTACAATTAAGTTGTTGGCTATTGAAGTGTGTATTGAAATGTGAACTGACCTTGCAATACTTTCATAATTGTCAAATTTGTGAAGTAAATTTGTGCACAAATTTCCTGTAGTGAATTTCATAGGATATTTTATCCTTTATGATATTCTAATATTCATAGGATATTTGATCCTGTATTTTATCCTTTTTTATGGCACTGTTTATAGAACAATTTTACAGAAAAAGCACAAAAGCTTTTTGAAATCTAATAAACCAGGGGATAGCTTAGTGGCCTTCTTGCTTTGCGTTCATTGTTTAGTGATCTTCAGAAGCAGAGGCAATGGCAGTGTCTCCTCATCAGCTTTGGTGACTCAAATTCCTCATTCACTTTAGTAAAATAGTAAATAATTAGCCAGTAGACTGTGAATAATCAAGTTTTTCCAGAATATCTTCCTCCATTTAGTCAGAAGTTAAGAAGTTTGTCAGTAGCAAATGGATGTTTGCCAGGCAACAATGAATCTCAAGAATGGTTACTTGACTTAAAATTATTCTTCCTTGTCTTCGTAAAAAAGGCAGAAATTGCAACCTGGCTCTAGTAAAGCAGAACTTCATTTACAACAGATAAACGTTTTTCCATTACATCTATTATCAAATTCTCTTCTCACATGGCTTGTTTATATTGTATAAGTTGAAAAGCGCAGTGAGCTGTGATACAGCATTTTAAGGTCCAACAAATCTCAGTAGAATAATTATTTTTGTGTGTCACTCTTTTTCTCTCAAGCAGAAAATAGGGGATTTTAGCCTCCTACTTGTTTCATTCCATTTTATATATGGAACAATATTCAAAATCTTCATTAAACATGTAAGACATAATGAGCTCCTTGGTAAGTGTTCAGTGAAGGATGCAAAATTCTGGCACAGCCAGATTAATAACTCAGTTGTAAGGTGCTTTCATGTATATTTAATACACGAAAGCTATAGTTGTTTAATTACAATTCTTGTGGATTTGTTTGGTGTTTTTTGCTTTTTTTTGTTGTTGTTTTGGGGGTTTTTTTGGGTTTTTTCCTTGTTGTTGTTTTTCCCCCTCTGTGCCTTTTTTTTTTGGTCTTGTTTGAGGTACTTGGAAACAAAAAACATTAAGGTTTGAAAGGATCTCCAGGATCATAGAGTCCAGCCATTAAACTAACACCAACTTCAAAATTTTGGTTATACACACATTATATATATCCCATTTCATATGTCCAAATTTACTCCAGATAAAGTCTGCAACATAGTGGTTGGCCCAAGAGCAAAGAAGTCACATGTTAAGAAATTGTGATACATTGAGGTTTTGGGGTTTTAGGTACTTGCAGGATTGAAATGGATAGGTTTAGTCCAGAGAATAAATTTTTTTCTGAAATTTTTGTATTATAGTTTATTCCAGAGAATAAGTCTGCAGGTATTTTTTTTTTTGTTCTGATGCATTCACTGTTCCCTTGTTCCACCCTCAACCACTGTTGTTCTTCTGGTCTGTAGTTTTAAAATCAAAACACAAACTTGTAGAGCAGCAGTATATTTCAATGATGCTCACATGCTGTTTTTGTTTTTTGTTTTTTTCCTATAAATTCTTCTAGCTATCCTAATTGGCTAACATTAATAGAAATTCTTGTCATGTTAAATACAAAAACCTCTCAAGTAAATTTTGCAGAAGGATGGGAAAAACATTAAAGAAAATATGGAGTTTTTTTCAGTCTATGTATTTTTGTGTGAATGTAATTAGTGTGTGTATAGCAGAATCACATCCCTCAAAATCCTATAATTTTTCATTCTACTTTGCAGCAACTTTATAGAAAGAAACCAGGATTGGCTGTTACATGTGCAAAGGTACCTCAGAATATGGACAAGAATAGATACAAAGATGTTCTACCTTGTGAGTCTAAAATATAGTTTCTGCCTATTTTGCTTTTTAAAACTGCTGTTTTGAACTTGCTGATTGAAGATTTTATTATATAATTGAAGTAATGTAATTGGTCATTTTATTTTCTAAAACATAATTTATTCTGTTTGTATTCTGCCATTTGTGTTTCTACAATTTCTTACTTTGTTGTTTTGGTTTTTTTAACTTAATAGAGGGGAAGTATGTCTCTTAATTGCTAACTTTATTCCCTCTTTCTTGTGTGTGTGCAGATGATGCCACAAGGATAATATTGCAAGGAGATGAAGATTACATTAATGCAAATTATGTGAATGTAAGTCATACAGAGACCTGCATTTACTCACTTTCTATATTACTAGAGCAGACAAAATTTGTCTTTTTTGGGGAATAAGGACATTTTGTTTTAATTTGTGGGATTTGTAAGTGTGAAAGATGCAAAATTTCACAACCTAAAAAATAGCGTCTGTTGTGAAACAGGTAACCATCCTAATACACGGTGGGTGCTACCATGTAGTGATACATTGTGATACATGCACAGTCTTTAACCAGCAAAAATTGTTTCATTTTTCCATATACTTCAAATGCTGAGGTTGTCTCCATGAAACTAAGCCGTTTTTTCCCTCTAGAACCATTTATGACCTACCGGCTATGTTATGAAGGATCCAGAAGATAAATTAGAGACTTGATTTCCCTCATCAATCACATGTAGTCTGGGAGTCAGGGAAAAGAGGGGAAAATGTGTATATATTTCTATCAGATACATAAGCTAAGTACCTAAATTACAGAATCAGTTATTAACTTCCTGTATTTAGTATCAGACAATAAACAATTTTTGCTATACCTTTGGTGTATATACCCTGCCATCATTCCTTACAAAATATAGAAATCTTTATAGTTTCAATTTTTCAAGTACATTTTCACTATTAATCCTCTGCTCATAGTTCAGCATGAAGGACTATAGAATCTTTGCTTTACATCTGTTTGAAATTAATGATTTAATTTTTTTTTATATAACAAATTGTAATCTTGATTGTCTTACTACTTAGCTTTTTGCCTTAATCTTCCGTCAAAACTTCCTGTTTGAGTGAAACACCGAATTAAAAAAGTACTTGAGTAGTGAGTGTGAACTTAACGTAGGATTTTTCTTTCCCTCTGTAGATGGAAATTCCTTCTGCTGGCATTGTGAACCGGTACATTGCTACTCAGGGGCCTCTTCCACACACATGTGCACACTTCTGGCAAGTAGTCTGGGATCACAAATTATCACTGATCATCATGTTAACAACTCTCACTGAACGAGGACGGGTAAGTACCCAGGTCCTTTGTATGCTGAAGACGTACTGTACCTTTGAACTTTTTTCCATTGTTATGGTTAAATAACCCTAAAAAGGGCCAACTTCTTCTGTTGAATTATTCTTCTGAGGGCCAGGCTTTCTGAATTACTTAGACACAGCAGATAGTCTTCAACTTTCTTTTTGTTATGCTGCTTTGCAAACAAACCAGCTTCCTGATAAACAGAAATCTGCATTCACTCTGTTGTGCTGGTCAGATGGGTACTATGCCCTGCTGTATTTCTCCCTGAGTATTGGCCTTCATGTGGCAGTTTCTCTTCAAAAGATTCAGCAAATGTCTGGAAGCACTGAATGGGTTGAGCAAACCTTGTAGTTTAGCTGTAAAAATGAGTCTGCCATTGTGGTATCTACTAGTGGTCAGAATTTAGATTGCTTATTTTTATTTACATCTCATTTTCCTTCCTATAATTGCTTTGATAATTTTTAATTATTTTTAGATTAATTCTGTCTCTCCTTGAATTTTGGAATAGCACAGTAAAATTCTGGTGTATTTTGATTTAGTTTGTCCTTTGTAATTTTAAAGATTAAGTCTTTAGATTAAACGGGAAGGTATTGGTTTTGAAGTTTTAGAAACTGAAAACTTGACAGTTGGATTTTTTATGAGGTGGAGAAGGTGGTGTCTCCTGTATTCCTTCACTGTAGCCTTTATCTGTATTTTGTATGTGATCTGTCCTACATTACCAAATTTATCTGGCATCCCAGTCAAAACCCAGTGTTTTTTGAAAACAAGGGAGTATTTTAAGTCTTAAGCAGCATAAAGATTGAGATGTAAGGAGGTACAGTTAAGCAACAATTAGGTTCTAACCATGGTCATGTTATGTAGCTGCTCATGGAAGCAGACACTATTGAACATCAGCTGACATAAAAATGCTCCCTTCATCTTTTGATTCTATTGGTGTATTCATTTCCTTGTATTGAGGAGAAACACAGATTAGTAGTAGTCTGGAGTTCATACAGTCAATTAGAAACTTCAAGGCAATTATTGATAACTTTTAATCATCCTGCTGGTGCCTTAGTATGCCAGACACTTTTATGAGATTTGTTTGCTTTCAGAAATTATTTAAACTTGCCCAGTTTGTGGGTGAACTTTCAGATGTAGAAAAAGATGTATTTTCTTGTCAATAATCTCTCCATTGGCAAATTCCAAATGTTTTCCTAGTCCGTGGAGGTTTTACATTCCAGACTATCTCTTTCCAATGCTGTTAAGATTTGTATGATAGGATTTTTTTTTTTCTCCAGAGTACTGTTCATTTTTTCAGAAATGGATACATTGTTTTGCTTTAAATTTGAAGGGGAAAGTAGTTAAGATAAACCACAGTAAAACTTTCAGGCATAATGGTTATAATCTGGATTTTAAGCCTCTGAAAACTGAGTTCTATTAAAGGTAAAATTAAGAAATTCTAACTTTTAAAAAATTCCAGCTTGTGCTACTCTGTATCAATTTAAAAGTTACAGACAAAAACAACTTTGAACTTTGTGCAGGTTGCAGTGTCACATCAAAGTTTTAATTATTTTCACATGTGGAGATCCCACACTCTCATAGAGCTTCTTGTTTCTGTGCTTGTCCTTTGTGGAATTTTTTTGCCAACATCAGTCCAAATTTCCCTTGTTGCTTCTTTACAGTTGCCTCTTGTCCTTTCATTGCTCACTTTCAGAAAAGTGTGGCTTTTCCTTTTCTGTAACCTGCTATTAGATGGATAAAGTTAGTTTCAAATTTAACCCCTGCACTTCTTAAGACAGAATAAATCCATCTTTATTCTCCCACATTATGCCATGACAAGTCATTCTAGCAATTAAGAAAATCAGCGGACAAAGCATCATGCCTCTAATTTACCTGAATATTTATTTTAAATCCCTAAAGCAGAAGTTTATGGAGAACTTAGGCTATTTTGTCCTGTTATTTTTCAATTTGGATGGAGGCAAATCTCACCAGCAAAGTAAAACAGATTTTGTACCACTCCTTGAATTCCCTGAACCACAACATAGGAAGGAAGGCTGGAAACGGAAGGCCTTGTATACAACAATCTTGACGTGTGCCTAATTGTCTTTACAGACCAAATGTCATCAGTACTGGCCTGATCCACCAGACGTCATGGAATATGGCTGCTTCCGTGTCAGATGCCACTCTGAAGACTGCACAATTGCTTATGTTGTCAGAAAAATGGTCATTACAAATATTGAGGTAAATGCCCCTTGCCTTTAATTATCCCCAAATAAGAAGAATGAATACATTTATAGATGTGTAGATAAAGACTACGTGTTTGGCAATGTATATCTCTGTGTGTGGATATGATGTGTGCCCATATACACACACACACATTTTTTTAAATAGAATACGCCTATATTATGTGGATCAACATGGTATGATTATTTCTTTAGAGCTTCTTCAAAGACACATTTTTTGAAGTTCTATAATAAATTATGCTGTACAGGTACTGCAGTAACATCATAAGGAAGTTTAGTGCTTTTCTTTAAATGGTTTTGCAATCACTGATTCTTCATAAGTACTTTGATTTATAATGATTTGATTGATAATGAGAGTTTTTTTCCTAAGTAACTCTGCTCTTTCAAGGATGAAATATGTGTCACTTGGTTAATAACACATGCGGCTAGAACAACTAATAAAGAAGTGAGGCATAATAAAGTTATTTTGAGAAGATGCAGAATCTCACCAGTTCCTTTTCATTGTCTTTAGTCAGATTTCAAAAAAGAAAAAAGTTCATATGTATCTCAGTTGAAATGTGTTCAATTTATGAAAAATACTTATATTCCATAACTGCTAATACTTTCATGCTAATGTCTAGTGAGTTAGAAAACAAAGAGAAGGCAAAACAGAGTGTTTTGTTTATCTTTGTGAAATCTGTGTTCAGGTCATGTTTGGACTTCCTATAACCTGAATTGTAGGGGTTGAAGTTTGGATTTTGTTTCTAAGTTGACCTGCATTTCTTATACATTCCCCTTCATCTCTTTTCCAAAATTCTACGGCCACAGGTATTTTCTAAAAAGATGAAGGGTTTATGCTATCATAAGATGTGTAAGAAATCACTGTATACTGATCAAAGGCTAATTTGCAGTCTATCTTTTAGACTTCTGTACTGTTAAGTATCTTTTACTGTTACCTAGTAGTAATAGTATGTAGTAAGCAAGGAAAAGGCAAAATCTGTTTTAAAATATAATATTTAATCAATGTTCTTACAGCAAGATGACCAATCCTTTAATCTCATATGTTTGTGACTTGACATTTTCTTACTTGACAGTGCATCCAAATTTGTTTTAGTGTGATTAAATTTTTCTTTGCAGTCATAAACATGTGAGATGTCAGATGTAAGTACTTAAAGGTTTTTCAGTTAAGACAGTTTACAGTACTTCTGTTTCTAGGTATGAGAAACTGCTCAGTCAGGGAGGACCATGACATTTGTTTCTGTATTTTGGACAATTCCTCTGTAAGTGATAAACTTGAATGTCAACACAGAAGAAATTAACCTGATAAAAGTAGTACTGCAACTATATGTACCCAAAGTTTTAGTCATTGTCACTCAAATTATTTATTTGTAACCTTTCTAAGTCTCATAAAATGAAAAAGGTTTAATTTCCTGCATTTTTTTTTTCAATACAAAGATTGAAAGCTATACTGTAGCACTAAGTTTGAGGCGTTTTGGGGTTGGTTGAGGCTTTTCATTTTTTAAAAAAAGCTTCAAAACAGTTTGGGGACCAGAACAAACAGACCAAATGAAAGAAATCATGTAGTGAAAGTGCAGAGTTCATCACATAGTGCACTATTTTGTAAATCAAGATACGTATTTCTTTATGATCCTTGACAAAATAACATAAGAAGCCTGAAACAAAATTTCATTCCATTTCCTTTGACATAAATACCTTGCAATATATGATTTGCCATTAAATCTCACTGGTTTTGAAATATAAAGAGCCGAAGAACAAAAGTAAGTTAGACGTTTTATGGCAAGTGTGTACAGCAGCATAATAACGTGTGAAAAGTTGTCCAAGACGTGCCAAATGCGTCTTGCCAGAGTATCTACTCTTTAGAAACTTGGCTTTAACCCTGATCATTCAGACTCAGCTTTCAAGATATATTTGTGAAGCTCACTGGCAAGGAGCGTGCCTTTTCCTGCTTGGAAGATAAAAAGATCATTTCAGAGTTAACGTAGTTCTACACTGTGATTTTGTTTTGTCTCATTATTGAAGATTATGTTATAACTTCTGTGAAAAAGGACATTAACTGAAATAATTGAAATGTAAAATCAATTGCTTGTTTTTTAACATAAGTAAGAATTAAGGCTGACATTTCAAGTTTAAATTTCGTACTATCTATATGATTACTGTTATTCTAAGTTCTGTGTGTTGATTTTCTGAAGAGCACACAAATCTTTTATTAATCAGGGAGAGTGTATCATTTAAGGAGAATGAAACAAGGAAGTTTGCTTTTTGATGTAATTATAATAAGCAAGTCTGCAAACTGCAGAAGGATGAAGAATGGATATTTTTGTGGCTGAAGGTCTTGTCAGTACAATATTGCAAGTGTTAGAGCTGCCATTTGAAGCACTGCCTGTGACAGCCCTATTCTTTGTCAGGAGTTTCAGCCCCAGTGACAGACTCACTGGAAAAGATTATGTGCTTCTGAGCAAAATCTAGGATGTTAGCTTAACCACAATGAAGCTGCTGCTGCAGTTACCTATCTTAAATTTGCTCAGGATGGGTAGGGACAAGTACATAGGTTTGTTGGAGAATTTTTTGCTGAACAACTTCACTGTAATGACAGTGAAGAAGCAAAACAACAGACAGCTGAGGATTAACATGATGTCTTAGACTTCTGCAGTTCCTAACTAATTAAATATGGATCAATGCCACGAAGAAGCTAAATGTTGGCCAAAGGGCTGACAATAAAATGGGAAAATTACATAATCCCGAAGTGTCACTGGAGTCTGGGCTAATTTATTTGAATCCATAATTTTTAAACTGATTTGGAGAAATATCAAATCCATGCATTCCACTGAAATCAGTCCACAGGAATTAAAAAAAAAAAATCATTAAATAGTTTTGGAATAGCAAGGTGTACAAGGTCAAGTTAAGCAAAAATAGCAACCAAGCCATAAGCAGCTCTTACTGGCTCACTTTCTCTAAGACTCATAAAACAGAACAAATAAAGCCAGATTTTTATGAAGAAATATTATACATTTATCAATCATTAGGATGACTATCGTTGAAAACCTGTGTGCAAAAAGAAAAAATTCTGGAAAATACTTAAACTGAGTTGCAGAAAATAGTGGTTTGATACATGAGTATAATGAGAAGTTGCCACTTATTTTCCATTACAAGGTTTATACAAAGGAGGGAGAGCTGGGAGGAATAGTGTTTAAAACTAGGTATTGATAGCTGAACATGTACTGTAGGGCTAACTATGGGACCAGTAACTATACTTCTAGCATTTTTGCATGTATAAGTGCTAGATTTTAGTAACTTTGGTGATCTTTTAATGCAAGTTATTTCCATGTGGAGTGTTGTCTGGCTGACATTTTCTGTATTTAAAAAACTGATTTTCACTAGACTTGAAGATATTACTTTTTTAAAGAAAAAAAATTCTAAAAATAGCTTTAAAAATCGCGACTTCATCAAAGTACTGCTTTGACATTTTCTGCATGAGACATAAAAGCTTAGACATAGAAAAACTAATTCTAATATAAATGAATATATTTACTGCTTACGTCAGGTTTAAATTGCTAATAAAGCATAAAGTGTTTTAAAATGTGCATTTTGAAAAGCAAGTGACAGAATAGTCAAGCTTCAGCATTTTGAATCATCCCAGAAGAACTCAACAAAAGAATCAAAACTGCTAGTGTTGAAGCACAAATAATTAGAGGGCTACACTGAGGCTCGAAGCATACCTGGAATAATTAGCAAACACCTATATTGGTCTCTAAGGATGATTAGGGCACCTAACAGAAATTGGAGATTCTTACACCAAAAGCAGCAGCTCTGAGGGCTAATTGCATGTTCTTAGTGTATTCTCACTCTGAATAAGTCTTACGTAACATACTTCTTGTACCTGATGTCTGTAAACAATTTAATAAATGCAGCTCACTCTATTTGAGCCTGAAGCACTGATAAGTAAAAATTAAGTCAGTTCTTTCCTTTGTTCTGAGCTTGAAAAATAACTTCTTGCTTCTACAGATGACTGTCAGTGTTTCTCAGGTGTGCCACTGGCACTTATCCATGTTGTATAGCTTTTGGTTCTTGAAGCACATGAAGGACAACTGGGTACTCAGTCTTGGATAATTTTCAAACTAGTCAAGTCTTTGTTTCACCAGGATGCTGTAATTCAGAGGTCTCTAATTTAAGAGAATGAGCTCAAACTGTTACATGTAATTGCTTCTTTATCTCATTTCCCTTTTGAAGAGGTTTTGATGAAGCATGTGCAGATTTTTAAAGGACTTTTTAAAGACATTTTTAGACATGTTTTTGTATTTTTTTTTTTTTAATCCGTGGCATTTCAGAAAAATGTGAATGATAATCATTTGGTCAAGGTGAACTTTTTCTACTCAGTAGAGCTGGGTAACAAAAGGCCATACATGCTTTTTCATGCGGAGATCCTGGTCATTGTGCATCTCTTGATGACATGGATGGTAGATCCTGATGTAACTTGTATTGTGGTGAGCTTGGTCATTAATGTTAGATTATATTGTCCATGTGGGTCTTATGCTGGCCCTTTTTAATTGTTGATTGCTCAGGCTCTGCTTTTAAGAAGCAAAGTATGAGCTGTGTAGTTTGTTTTTTTTTTGTCCTTGTGGACAACTGTAAATTTCTGAAATTGCTCTGACTGGAATAAATGTATTCCCTAAAACTCTACTTAGTACATAGGTAGTACTTATTCCATCTTTTGTGTCCTATTAGCCTGTTCCTTGGGAGTGGAGCACCCTCAAGTGGGAGAGGAAAACAAGCAGTTGAAGACATTTAAAACATGTCCTATATTTCAGCAGTTGTGAGCATAAGAGAAAAGGGGGAAAAAAGTTTAAAAGTCATTAGCATCACAAAAACATTCCTGTGTGGACCACTAGGGAACGGCCAGCTTTTACAGACTAATCCAGCCAAAAAGGAGAGTTTTATTTCAGAAGGCTGCCAAATTTGAAGTCTGGCAATGGACAGAAAATAAATGCAGGTATCGGGTTAGCTATTGCAAAACATGGGGAAGGAATTAAGGAACATGGGGACGCAGTTTGTAAGGACTGAGATCTTTGCTGCATGATGCAGCAGAGCTCACGAGCCTCTTCCCACCCTAACCATTAGTTACATCTGTAACATAACAGTTCAGCCCAATCTGAATGCAGAGATGATTGAGTGATTTCATAATCAAAGTTAACAAAAAGCTAAACTGAAAGAAATTCTGTAAAACCGTGATGTTTTTACGAATAATTGATTCAAAAAAAGAACTCTTTGTACAACAGAATCTTTTAACTAATTATATTGCTTCCATACAGAAGAGTATCCTCCTGTGGATCATACAGATGTCATTCATATATGTACAATGAGAATGTGTGTATGAATGATATATATGTATATATACTCTTTTCTAATAGAAACCAGACTTAGCAAGTGTTGCAGGCAACTTTATTATACCTGAATCTCTAAGTGTGCACGCACATATTTGCAATAGATTGAATAGCCCTAACCCCCTGTTATATTAGTATTGTTCTCAGTAGTTCTGCTGTTCTCAGTTTTCCAAGCAGTTCTGTGCTATAGTATAATACTATTATGCTTATGTCTTGTAGCATTTTAGCTCAGGTGAATCAATGATGTCAAAGTGTCATAGGTTAACAGACAGTAAATCAAAAAATTAAAATGCTTAGTTCACAGAAGTTAAACTTGATACTTCACTAATTTAGAAAATGTTATGCCTTATGAATTATTACTTGTCCATACTTCACACTGAATTTTAAAATCACAAATGTTTTCTACACCATCTACCTCTTATTGCATCTGCAGAAAACACTTGCTGTGAAAAATATGACTTGTATCTAGTAAACATTAATACAGGAGTCATAACATTGGCCATTGTTTGAAAATTTTACTGTATTTTAGACAGAACAGCAACACACCGTCACCCATCTCCAGTACGTAGCTTGGCCTGATCATGGCGTTCCTGATGACTCCATGGACTTCTTGGAGTTTGTGACCTGTATGAGGCCAAAGAGAGTAAAGAATGAGCCAGTTCTTGTTCACTGCAGGTACTTGTGTTTTAAAACTCTGATTATAGATCTGCTTCAGCCTTAGAATAAGCATTTGGTGGGAAAAGTTTCTCAGGACAGGAGATTCCTTGAATTAGATGAAAATGTTAAACCATGCAATATGAGCATTTACTGCTGAAGACAGAAACACTGATGTTATATCTAAAGGATGAGTTTACTTTGTCTCCCTTTCTCCTGCAACCTTTTGAAATGGTGAAATGGCTTAGTCACATAATTATCACAGATCTGATAATCTGCAATTTAATTTGTTCTCTGGTTTTTATCCTCTACCACTGTTATAATCTCATTTTGAATGGTACTGCAAAAATTCTTTTCCTGCTGTTCAAGTGTGTGTCATAAAAGCAGTCAATTAGATCTGACCTTTTTTAATACAAAAATATGAAACCATTGAAGTTTGAACAGTTTAATTGTTTAAAAATGCCTTTACTTTAGGTGAGGTTTTAGTTTTACTTATATTAAAAAATATTTTCTTTTCAGTAATTACCAGAAAATATTACTGAAGTTGCTGTAAAAATAAACTTTGCACTCTTTTTGAATTTTACTATGATCTTCCTGTAATTTCCAAGGTTGTCCTACTATTAAAATTGTGATATGAATTTGGTGCATTGCAATAACCTAATTTTATAGACTATTTTCCTGTTGCATTTCACAGTGCAGGAATCGGTCGCACTGGTGTGTTGGTCACTATGGAAACAGCCATGTGCCTAATTGAAAGGAACCAGCCTGTTTATCCACTGGATATTGTACGGAAAATGAGAGACCAGAGAGCTATGATGGTGCAAACATCAGTAAGTGATGGAGAGGAAGCATATTTTTCTGTATATCTACTGCACTTGTCAAGTTATAAAACAGGTCCAAAATATTTTTAAAGGATCTAGTAGTCTGAATCTTCAGTTGTCATTGTATTTCAAACTTCATAAATTTAGCATAATGTAGCATGGTGGCAAAGGCTGTTTTGCTAATGAGGTATGTATTTATCTGTTTTTAAAATATTTCTTATCTTGCCAGGAAAAGATAACTGATTTTGATACATTGTAAGTAGTTAGAATGCCCAAAGTCAGACTTGTACTGATCATCTGTTCACAGTCCTTTGTCTAAATTCTCTTCAAGAACCTAGAATAAATTTTTGCTTTTTTTTCTCGTACAGAGTACTATAGGAAGTTACTAAGTTGAAAGTAAAATCAAAGTGTTTGTGGTCTGGTTTGAAAAGAAGGAAGTGGCTTTTCGAAAGGCCACTTTAGAGCAGAAATTCCATAAGAATGTACTACGGATTTTTTTTTAATTTTGCCACTACTCAGTTGGAAAAAAATACGGACAAGTTGTGTAGCTTCAGTAGCTGAAACATGAAAATAGACAGTGATTTTAAGATGAAAGTGAGGCAACTTTGAATTCATGAGAGCAAATTTGTGTCAGCTTTGGAAATGAACATATTGACATTAGAGAAGGATGAAGAATGAGAGATTGTTCTTCCTTTAGGAGAGGCTGGATGACAAAAATTCTGAGTGTGGGTTATCTTGGAGAACTGAATGCCCTATGAGAAATGAAAGGGTGTTTAGACATAGAAAGCCACACAGTTAAATTGGGCATTTCTGTCTCATCTTACAAAGAAAATGCCTAAAATGCATTGAAATCAAATCCATTTGATCACAGAAAACTTAAAAGACAAATTCTATTCATTAGCAGGTTAATGAATGCAGGTATTAGCATTATGACTAGATGTGGGGGAAATCTTGCATCATCAAATGGCATGAAAGTGTCAGAATCTGCAGCTGCCTGTGTACCATTAGAGCGCTCAGTGAGCAGAGCTTGTGCGTGCGTACTGCTGGGATTCACGTTCATTGCAGCAGAAGTGCACTCTCTGGAAGGGGATCTGGACTGTGTGGTTGACAAGGCAGTTGTTTGAAAGGTGCCCTGCCTGTTCCCTGCTGAAGTAGAAGCTGAGCTGATGACAAAGGTAGTCATGAGATGAAGAACACTCGCTTTAAGTTTAAGGAAGCCAAGTGTTAACTTCTGCAGTTGCACCTGTCTACACCCCTCAGTTTCTAAAATTACCTAAACAAGTTCAAGCTTCAGCATTCTAGAATTGATCCTCTTCTTGAGAATCAGATGTAAAAACCTGAAGTAAACTTCAGCTTGCCAGAAGACTGAATCCCTTTTGTTACAACAGAAATCAGACAGAATTGTCCTTTCACTCCACACTTTGACATAACAGAAGAATACAGGGAATAGTAATAAATACAGCTACAGTCAGACTCCTGGTACGGAAAATGAATATCCAAAATAGGATTCTTTACCTTGCTTGCTGTGTTATGCAGTTTGCTGTCAGCACAATCAGGAGAGGGATGATCTGTAGCAGCAATACTGTGAAACTAAATTCATGTGTTATTTCTGAAGAAGGTAGATACTGTTGTGAAAAGCCAGTGAGCAAAATTGGCATATTGTGCTGTAAATGAGACACAGAAGCAAGCACTCAGCTCTGAGAAAACAGAATACCAGAGAGCTGCATGTTAATATTTGGATCTATCCTGGGTGTTCTATTGCATTCCCATGTCTGCATGCCACCTAGCCTCACTGTTCATATTTGATATCCCACGTAGGATTTCTGGGAGAAGCCATTAGAGATTATTCAGTTGTAATAAAGGGATTGTTCAGTTTTAATAGCTTTGCCTAAAGCACGTTCAGCTGCCCTGTGGGGCACACTCTGTGTGTGCTCCAATTCTAAGGTGATAATGATTTGCTAGATGCATGTTGTGACAGGGCACACTCAAAAAGAATGGGCTGATCAGAGTTATTACTTGGTCAGTTTAGAGTCTGTTGTTAATCACATGAATGCTGTAGTTTCTCAAAGACCAGTGATTTTGTTATCTTGAGCAGCAAAAGAACTTCAACCAAAATGATGAAGCTATAACAAAGTTGGTGTAACTGTATGGCTTTTCATTTAAAAAAGGAAAGATTAATCCTTCTCTTCCAATAAAGAGAAATTAGGTATCTGGACAATGCAGAATACAGTGCTTAGGATGTACATAATAGAGGTAGCTAGTAGAGTGAGCAATAAGAATACGTGAAACAGATAAGAGTAAAGAAAACAAGTAGTCAGAGATTGAGTCAGAGGAAGCAATGCTGAAGTGCTCATTCTTTTATTTGTTCAGTAACTTGTTAACACACAAGTTAACAGAAGTATTGAACAGAGAGCTAAATACCACACCTGGCTTGTTCAGGCAGTAGAAATATGGAAATGACAATAAAAATGAAGAGACAAGTGAAGGTAATTAAGAAATAAGAACAAAGTGATATTGAAGGTGGGAGTAATTGACTGAAAGGTTGAAAGAAAATCCAGATAAATCAAGATGCAGAAAACACATTTCCACCTTCTTGTTTTCCTTAAGTTTTTCTGTACTTAAAAGAAAGTGTGTTGTGTTATGTTATGGACAAGAATAACATTCCTAACTGCTGGTATACAAAGGCAACCTAAGGTCCTTCACAGTCCAAATGTTATCTTTTAGCCTTTCTCTTTGGGAGATAGTGGGAGAATGTTTCCAGATGCTTCAGAAGAGTTGATGGGAACTGTCAATACAAGGTCAGCTGGGAGAACATTTCAAAGATGGACAAAGGGATGTAAAAAATGTGAAGCTTTGCTTCTCTGAATATATGACATGGAACTTTGGAGAAAAGGGTTCATTTTGGGGTTTTGACAATAGTACTTTGACAGAAGTGAGGATGCTTTGATCTTTGCAAGTTCTTTTAAATTTCAATCATCTTGTGTTCTCAGGATTGTGTTAGTCTTAAAAATTTATTCAGGCTAGCTGGACTTTCAGTTCTGCACTAGTCCTACGGATAATGTCTCCTTGTATCGCTTTTTAGGCAGAGGCTTACAGGCTAATTGTTTTTAACAAATAATTATATTACAAGGTCATGGAAGACCTAGTCTTCGTAATAGTATAATGTAGAAAAGAAACTCTAATTTTTGAAGATTTTAAGATCTAATTGAGATCAAAATGTTGAGTGACAGAAGAATTAATGTGGATGCTGCTCTTCAAAAATATTAATTAGAAAGGTTTTGATCCCCTTCTGTTACAAAAAGAGATATGTGGTCTGATCAAAAATTGAAAATAAAGTGACTCCTGTGGTACTGTAGGTGGTTTGGAAAAAAAAAAGGGAGGGGGGCTTCAGTTAGGTAGTTGCACCTATAGATCCTATATGGCAAGTTTAAATGTGGCCTTGGTCACGTAATTAAATGTGCACAGTAATATGTAACTGCAGGACTGGCAAGCTCAAAATACTTGTAATAATCATATAACTAACAATTCTTCCCCCCCCCCCCCCCCCCCCACCCCAAAATAGATGAGATGTATAAAGAAGGTAAATACCAAGTTAAACTTAGTCAAAAGTCATGCATAGTTTTTACAAATAATTCCTATTTCCTGAAAATTAAGCATGTATTCTTTTAGTTTGGGTAACTGTATTTTCCTTGGTGTGTGATTTTTAGTGCTTGTCCTTCAAGGAAGAGTAAATGTCAGCTTTGTTTACTGTGGACACAGACAGGAGAGTAGGATTTTCTCCTCCCATCCTTGTAGCTCCTCTCCTGTCATTGCTCAGGAAAAAAGGAAGCCATGGAACTGTTAGTCCTATTCAATAATGCTGTCTAATCAGCAGTTTGACTGAACATCCATAAATGTTTTTGTGTTTTCTTTCCTACACAGAGTCAATACAAGTTTGTTTGTGAAGCTATTCTTCGTGTTTACAAAGAAGGATTGGTTCGACCACTGGATTCCAGTTAGCACAGCAGTGAAGGATGAATTCCTTTTTTGCCTAAAAAACCTGCTCTTTAAGTAGAGCAAGGGCTTGTTTCTGAAACCAACTAGAATGGACTAGAAGCCCGTGAAAAGACAGATGAGCATGTTTGAACTGTGGCACTTTAAATTTCTCAAGAACATTGCTAAATCATGTACAGTGTAACAAAGTCACATAGATATATGACGGCAATTGTGTGTAATATACATTATTCACATAAACAACCATAAACAATCATGGAAACCTTAACAAATATCTTTTACTGCCTTAAGACACCCTTTACTTTGGAAGTTACGAAGTTCCTTGTGCTTCCTTTGAAATAGCAAGAAGAAAACTATTATTGAAATAAGTCATCTTAAGAAGGTATTTAATATATTTGTATCATATGAAAGTTCATTGAAGGTGAATATTTGTAACTTTCCTTTTGGGATACTAAATATCCACAGAACTGTAACCTTGACTAAAAGGCTGACGAAGAGCTTTAAAGGCTTATGCATACCTACTGAACACTGAGCTGGAGAAATTTAGTATTCGGTTACCGTAAATCTATTAGTGAGTATGCCAGCTGTTATAATATGCTGCTTAGAAATCACATCTACTGTATGTGATGTGAAAATAATGCTGCATTGAGGCATTTATGCAGGTGGTACAGCCTACATCTTCTGTTGATCAATTTTAGTTGCAACTTGCCCTTTTGACAGGGACCTACTTCTTACAGTTTTAGTTATTGCACCCCTTTTCTTCTGTTTCTGCTGTCTCCTTTATACTTTCCACTGCTGTTTCTGTATGTGGACTGAAAATATTTTAACTTAAAACGAGGTTTAATTCTCTGTCATGTTTGTTTCCATGTGTATTTATGAGTTCTCAGATGTAAATGTGGATTAATATTGCACACAAGTACTAGACTTTTGACTTACTGTATATGCAGAGTAGTCTAATCCAATACTGGAAGAAAAATTACTACTGAACCCATCAAATATGTTGCTGCTATTTCAAGGTGTGAAGCTTACAAGGGCACAGGTGTTGCTAGTGTTCAGATGGTGATAAAATGTTGACTTGCTGCCCTCCAGCAAAAGCACTCTTATCCAGCGAAACACGACTCCCTTTTGCAAGAGTTCTCCAGATTTACTGTGTTTCTTGCTTATACAGAAATGCAGTTAAATTCACCTGAAGATTTACATGGAAAGAGAAAATGAATTTGTACATTGATGAATAATTCACCCTAAGGTACACTGGTCTCTATTTCATTTCAGATGAGAGAATTGGACTTTCTGAACAGTATAACCACATTTGTATAATGTTAAATTATTTTGTGTGTGCTTTTTGATTAACCTGAGATAGTTATTCATTTTTTAATAGTGTTTGAAAAATATTCTAAGGGACTGTTTAAAACTTTGTTATTTAAAAAATTAGTTCTAAATAGGGAAAAAATTTATGGGGCATATTAGCCAGATGTTTATATGTATAAAAGAGAAAATTAGATAATTTTTTTTTTTTCAGAGAGCTATATATGCACACACATATTCAGATGTATTTCAGAATTATGGTTTGTATTATGGATATTATCATTTATAGCTGGAGTTTCATTATAGAAACTATCACAGCTGTACAATATGCATCTCTCATGTTACTGAAAGATTACATAGGATGAGCTAAATTGCTGACTTGACTTTTGTAAGCTTGGTCCTTTATCCAAGATTACATTTTTAGCTATACCTGAAGAAGATACCTGGTTACTATTTATTGATTGAAAGAATTTCAATTGAGATGTGCAGAGTAGATGGCAACATGGAAACCTTCTTGGCTTTGTTAAGTTGAATGGTGGCTAGGTTTGTGCTCATCCTTAGATACTGCATTCCAAATTTCACTTCAACTGGAGTTTTCTGTAATATTTTGGATGATTGTCATCTTGCTTGATTGGGCATAGATTAGCAGGCAAAAGACTGGTTCGCTCTTTTCTTGCTAAATTGCACCAGGTATCTCAATATGTGTGAATCCAAAGGTAAAATGATAGTGGACATGCACATGTTATTTGGGAAGCTTTGTTACGTGTGTGCCTGTCTGTTAAAATATCTTTTTTTTTTTTTAAGTTTTCTTCTGCCCTGGTCTCAGTCATCCCTTGCAGTTGGCATGACTTGCATTTAATAGTTTGTCAAGAAGTGAGAAAAGGCAAGAAAATAAATTCTAAGAAAATGTTTAGAGCATCTTTGTGACATCTGTGTCTTTCATGGAAGTACTCACGGTTTTTTTGTGTTCAAGGTTATTCCTATATTCCAACTGCTATTTATGTTTCTTCGTGTTTAATATGTATTTACCAAAGCACTGTAAATGTATTTCTTGTATAACTCCAGTCTCAAGATATATGGTATAGGCTTGACTTGGGTCAGTATGTGTGCATTTAAATGATGACTGTCATATTGTGACAACAAATGCTGCTCTTGTTCTGGTAAACTTGGATGGGTTTGGTCATACCATTGGGGAGCTCTTGGATTTTAATAACTTGACTGAAATTGCTGGCCACAGAGAGAATACTCAAAGCTATATAAATAGTAATCTCTGTAAGTTTATTTGTTTGTTTTCTTTAAATGCCTTTGAGGAAATATTAACTTCACACATATCTTGTATATTGTGTCCATCTTTATTTCAGTCTTGCTGGGTTTTGCACAGGTACCTGTAGGGTCCATAGGGGAGAATTGAAGGGGTTTTGTCTTCTCTCTGTAGTGTGTGATGCCTTTGCACTGAATGAAGTATGCCTTAGATCTGATCTTGCAATGAAAGCAAGATGAAATTATGAAAACATCTTAACGCCAGCTTTTGTTTTGACAAAAGTTAAGAAATCACGAAGACTTAGATTTAATTGATTAGATTGGGGGGGTGGGGTTTGGGGGGAGTTAAAACTTGTGACCACAAAGTTTTTATTTGTCAAGCAATTGGCAAATGGTAGAAAATGCTGTGAAGACAAGATTCTGTATAACCTTCATAAACATTTTACCCTCAGATTCTCCTGTGCTGGCATGATCCTGAAAATAAGTATTCAAACTATCTGGTGGTGTGGTGGTGGTTGAAGAGGGAGCAATAAACTCTTGAGGTTTTCATCACTGTGAAATACACTAACATTTATTTCTACAGAATTAAACAAATTTTAACTTAGTGGCTTTATATTTTATATGGAAATAATTTAACTGCCTATTCAGCGCGTCTACAGGAATCTCACATAGGAACACTTCTGAGACAGAGGTGAAAGGGTCAGGTCTTGCAATTTACTAAAAATAAGAAAAACAGTGCCCTAAACCATGAATTCCTTTTGTGTAATCAGATGTATGAAATACAAATCATTAAAATACAACCAAACCTTGAACAGTGGTGGTGTTTGAAAAAAGAACAAATTGTAATCCGGGGGTTTACTTTTAATTATCCTGTCTTTGTAGTATCTTATCCTGTTGATACTAAATTATATGCAGTCAAAGTGTACCCACGAATTCAGCAATAAGTCTTCATATATATTCAGTTTTTTTAACTGTTGGTTTTCCTTTTTACCCTCATATTTCCTACTATGCAGTACTTGGTTAAATATATATGTATTTTAAAAGAACTACAGTTCTCAACTGTATCATCAACCTTGCATTGGCTTTATTACAAGTATAATATGATACTTTTTTACAAAAAAGCTCTTCCCTGTAGACAGTATTCTTGTGTCAGAGTAAATGCATAAATGTTGAAAATAGATGCACATGGTTAATATTCAGTCAATTATAATTTAAACATAGTTATTTCACTGATAATGGCTTTATTTTTCTATCCTATAGCATTTAAGTGCAAGTTTATTTTACTCTCTCAGCCTTTCCAGAGAACATGTGCTGGGAAATGTTTGTATTTTGATTAATAACCTGCAACCAGTCTACTTGGTTAAAAGCATTTATTAGTTGAAGCTATATAGAAAGTAAACATTAAATACTTTGTTCAAAGGCCAAGTGAATGATTAATTCATTATATAAAACAATGCTTTGATTATATGGGTTTCTTGCATTTAAGTTCTGACACTGATAGTGCTCAGCCGTCTCAAATTGCTGTCAGTTTTAACCGTAGTTTACATTAACAGTTTAAATGTATGTCTAATGCAATATGATTTAGTTTTAGTGTACTTTAACACTGTATAAGCTTCAAACAGTAGCATCTACAATCACTGAAGCCTGTCTTTCTAAAGAAAAAAGTTTCTCTGAATCAAAAGGAAGAAGTTCCACATAATATCAATAGATTTAACCATTTTTCAGCTCACACTGGCTCTGTGACAGTAGCATTCTTACGACTCATATAAAGAGCAAATGTTGAGGATCAATAATGTTATGGAAAAAAACAAATTGTATGGACTATAAGAGACCATGAAATTTATTTTTTTTTAAGTCAAATTCATCTCAAGAGGGGACATTTGCTTGCAGACTACTTGGATAAGAGTAGTCTTAGTTTGTGCTTTATTTTGGGCTTAGCTGCAGGTAAACCTTTCATTAAAGATGTATTTAAAATATTAAAGCATTTATTTTAATAGACATTAGTGAAACACTTCAGTGTACTGTTAACTGTCTTGACTTGTGTTTACTTGTCTTTCATGATTTTGTTTCCTGAAATGTCATTGTTTTGCCTTATAAAATCACTTTGAGGTTTCCTACAAGTGTAGGAAAGTGAAAGTGTGAAACTGGCTTTGTCTCAGGCGAAGTGATTTTACTGTTGCTTAAGAAAAGATTTTTTTTTTTTTTCAACTGCTGTAGAGGCAGTGTGGTGTTCAGACAAGTCTCAACTGATCTCCTTTCAGAGAAATTTAAACAGTGCTGCTAGCAGGGGTAGAAATCATAAAGATATATGGAAAAGGGTGTAAGAAATGTTTTCTTCAGGGCAGATAAGACCTGGGTTTAACTTAAATATTAAAAGGAAAAAAATCAAACATTGTGAACATCAAAATGCTTTTAACAGATAAAGTAGGGGTGGGAAATATGAATTTTTTTTCCTCTTTTTCCTTTAAAACACTTCCTTGTTTCAAACACATTATTTCCCTTGGAACAATTTTTTTAGTAAAGAGCCATACTGTTGGCCATAGGATTTAATTTTTGTCAAACCCACCTAGAAAATAATTTTAAGCGGAACATTTTCCTCATCTACTGGTTTTTGCTCTTAAGTAGTATTAAAAAAAATCTTAAATATTTTCCTTTTAAAAACTATATTGGCTGTTTTCATTTTATGTCTTTTTCTGAGACATAAATGAAACCTGCATGTGGCTGGGTAACTGGTGAGGTTTCCCTGCATGTTTAAGAGGAAGCAGATGTTTTGTTAGGGCTGTTAAACCCCTTACCTAACATCAGTTACCAACTTAAGCCAGAGTAGCATCATATTTCTACCAGCCTTTTGCAGAATAAACATTTTGTAAATATTCCTGGGAGCTTGCTCTCCCAAGCATCAGGAAATCGTCTTGCACCAAGCTAGAATTTATGCTTTAAAAAAAAAAATTAAAAAAAAAAAAAGTTAAGATCTGAATCTTCAAGTAAGGAATCACTATTTGCCAAATTCTGTACAAAACATACCTTTTAAAAGGAAAAAAAAAAATAAGTTTTCTGCAAAAATACAGAAATACAAAGGTTAGCTGCTAGAAATGGGTGCAGCTTGTCTTAAAGCAAATTGGCTCTCAGCTAGTGTGCTGTATGGCCACTAAAGCACAGAAAGTGCATCATCAGCCCAAATTCCTGATTATTTGTCAACTTGCTTGCACGTGGTTGGTTGTGACCCTGATTCAGGAATAAGGAAAAAGGGCTGCCTTCCTTGGGAAAATATATTGAAATCCTGCACAGTAAATCCACAGCCTAAATTGATTGTATTTTTATTATCTAACCTGAGCAGTCTAGTTCAAAGTGAGATCCAGTGTATCTGTATGGGTTTGCAAGAATATCAAAGCACTCCATTCCAAAAAAAAGAAAAAGCTCAGCCCAGTAGTGTTAATTACAGAGGGCTTCATTTGCTTTAGTTAAGCAGCAGGTGAGTGTGGCAGCACTTGGGTTAATCCTGGTCAGGCCCTTCTAATTCAGAGATTTGCATACATGACTGAAAACTTGGGGTTTAGCAGGAATCAAATTACTGCCTGTAGAAATTAGGTGGGGAATTACAATATACACTCAAATGTAAATCTATTTCTAATCCAGGTTTTGCAAAATAAATGACAGGTATCAGTGCTTACATTCCAGTGACCTCTGCAGCGAGCACTAAACATAATTTATTTAGGTTTTCACACTTCATTGTGTAACCTTAATAGAGAGATACAAGGTATATAATGGGGACGATCCCATAAAAGGTTTATTTTTGCCTGCCTGCCACTCATCCTCACA